CAGCTGAAGTCTTATTAATCTGGGAACTTCCTGATCCACAATGTGTTTCAATTAGAGCTCTCAGTTCAGCCTGCTGCTTCTTCTCTATTGGTCAACCTGGCAATGAGCCTCCTATTTCAAAACATACCCCGTTGTGAATTTCCTGAAATTTCCCCCAATGTTTGAATTTTTTTAATTTTAAAAAATAACTATTCTGATTGTGTTTTTCCACAGGGTAAATATTAAATTGCCCAACACTTTGATCAGGAAATTTTATATCACTATCATACTCACTGAATTTGATGTATTACTGAGGCAATCTACAGGAGAAAAGAGAAGGTGCTGTTTTGGGAAATCATGGTGATGCCACAAAGAATCATCCTTGTGCAGAGAACTCAGGAGAGAACTAACCACTTTACTGTAGATTAACAAGTCTTGAAGTCCTTGAAATATATGGTACATGCTCTAACCTCTGATATTTCTGAATCACTTGGACTGATACTTCACATTATAATAAGGCTATCATCTGGTTATTTATTTACATACTTATTTTTGTAGGACTAGGGATTGAACCTAGAGGGCTCTTCCACTAAGCTACATTCCCAGCCCCCAGCCCTTTTTATTTTGAGACAGGGTGTGTCTAAATTGCCTCACACTTTTGATCCTCCTGCATCAGCCTCCTGAGTCTGCAGGATTACAGGTGTGTGTCACCACACCTGGTGGCTCTTATCTTGCTAAAGACACCAATGAATGCAGTCAAAATCGTCAAAATCGGAATGTACTTTTATTTTTCTCCAATTATACTAAATACCTGCTATCTTCAGAATAAATAGCTGAGGTCTTAGATTGCTACAAGCTGTATGTCTTAAAGCAAAGCTTGAGACATGACAGAGAAGAAATGTACCTGAAATTGAACGTAAAATTAAAGTATTTTGAGCTCAGAGCCTTTTATCATGTCTTTGCTTATTTAATGTCATGTTGCCATCTAATACAGCTTTTAACAATTGCAAACAGAATTTAGGGTTGTAGAGTTCTAAAAGTGAGAGAAATGGACACCAGATAGCAGGCCATTACTACTTCAGATGTTCTTAGAAATTATTTTTCTGTATAAAAATATTTCAAGAAGAATTAAAGTGGAATAAAATATCTTTATTGGAAATTTCATTGTTTTAGTCCAACTTTTCCTTTTTATGCCACAGGTATCTTATGGAAAACTAACTTTACTCTTAGGAAATTTTCTAGTTTCCAAATTTAAAGCAGTAAGAATAATACAGATGTATAGAAATTTATTTTAACATGTGGGTTTTTCTATTTTTCCCCCCATATTAGGAACTCATTGTGGTCTGGGGTATAGCTTAATGAGGGAATGCTTGCCTAGCATGTGGAAGGCCCTAGATTAGAACCTCAGCCCTTGGGGGTGAAAAATAACTTCATGGTATCCCAAATGTTACCCAAAGCAAAATATTTGTTAATCATCCTGAATTTTCTTAGTTCTCCCTGGGAAACTGCTGCTCTGTGAACTGATTATATATTTTAGTTATTTTGCTGCTTGTAAAACAAAATACAATGGTAGAAAGTTCCCAAGATTCACAAGTCTTTTGTATACTACATTATCTGGTTCACATACAAGTGCTTCAAAAACAGTCAGTCAGTCAACTCTCTCCCTAATTTTAGACTCACCTGAAATTTCTCTGGAATAAAACTATCTCAGGAGTCATTAACAATATGTGAGTTTGACTATGCTGATCCTCTTGTGAACTTTGAAACCCATATTTTTACTGTTCTATCTATTGTTTTGTTCATTGTTCCACTATGATTGCATCAATTTCCCCAAAAGCATACCACATACCTTAGTTACATTTTCTACATGTATAAAAGCAGCAATCAAATCTACATGCTATGTTACCATTCCATTTCTATGGTTCTACAGAGACAAATATGTTCTCTTTTTTTTTCTTGTTGTTGTTTTTGTTTTATTTATTTATTTATTTTTTGGTGGGGCAGGTTACTAGGGATTGAACTCGGGGAACCTCGCCCACTGAACCACACAGCCCTATTTTGTATTTATTTAGAAATGGGGTCTCACTGAGTTGCTTATCACCTCACTTCTGCTGAGACTAGCTTTGAACTTACAATCTTCCTGCCTCAGCCTCCTGAGCGGCTGGGATTGCAGGTATGCACCACTGCACTCAGCCAGAGGCAAATCATATGGCCTCAGTAAGTTCTTACTTTTATCAAAATTATTCCAAACAAACTCCAAGAAAAATCTATGCTCTAACTACCACTCTATGAAAGGTATTAAAGATATAAATCCTAGTCATGTGTGGTGGTGCACTCCTGTAATCCCAGTGACTCAGTAGGTTGAGGCAAGAAGATCACAAGTTTGAAGCCAGTCTCAGCAACTAAGTGAGACCCTGTCTAGAAAGAAAGAAAGAAAGAAAGAAAGAAAGAAAGGAAGAAAGGAAGGAAGGAAGGAAGGAAGGAAGGAAGGAAGGAAG